TATAGCATACATTGTTTCTTTAATTTTAATATTTTGGTTGTCCAGCATAGTTTTATAGTATTCTATAGTATTTATGAAATGGGAGGAAATTTGTTACTCACAGCATTTTCTTAAAATCTTCCACAGTCAACACCGGAATCAAATGGAACAGCTGTAGATGCTCGTGGTCACCGCCCACTACAAAGGGGTAGGGAGACCTTCACTGGAAATAGATATGCCCCTCCTCCTGTCAGCGGTGGTAGCAGGTAAAGCTTTTTTTTAAAATAAATGAAATAAAAGCAGTGAAAAGACACAAAATCTAATGCAGCCATCCTTATGATATAGATGAAATGTCATTAAATCTTATAGTATAAAATTGGCAATAAAATTTCATTAATAATAAAATTTTGTGAAATACAGCAAAGTGGCATGATGTGGTCTGCGGTGCCACTGTAGGGGAGGTGGACGAATAAATATAAATAACAAATAATCGCCTGTATATTTGTGTGTGTTTTGTGTTTTTTAAATTATTTTTTTCACTAAGGTATCGTGGGCGCCCCACTCCTGCTCCAGTTGGTGGCCGACAGATCCAGGAGAAAGTTGAGCACCCCGAGGCAGGAGGATGTACATATGGTTCAGAGGAGATGGTAAAAAAAAAAAGATAATAGTAACACACATACAATTAAATACAGGCCAGTGGTCTTAGGTGATGTCAGGACCACAATACTTTCCAAGAGGAAATTATGTGGTCACAGTTTCTCCAATACAGTAAGAAAAGTTCCTAACTAAACACAATTGATTAACACAATATATTGCGTAGTTACAAAATGTAACAAAATAGGTTTAATGGATACAAATAGCTCTAATATAAATATCCCAGTATATTGCACAGCTATATAGACATTAAGGTGCCCTTATTATTTTACTGTTATACTGTACTTTGATATTTTTTCTGTAGAGGATATGCAGATAGTGAGGATATGCAACTATTTGGTCCAACTAGTTACTACAGTGAAAAGTAAAATGAAAAGTAAAAAGTGCAAATTTTAGTGTTCAGTTTATTATGAATGTACAAATAAAATGCAAAGTCTGCCACAATTAGTTGATCAATGTTTACTTCCATGCAAACTATGGGATAACCGCAGAAAGAAAGCACCATATGCCTATTTGTGACCAGGTTCACCTGGCTGAAAACTATCAGTTTCCATGAAAACTCTGCCAGCTGTCCAAAGAATGCACAATTGGTCTGTGTCACTGGGGTGTTCTTGGGAAACTTTTAATTGCTGATGTTAACTGTAGTTTTTTATTGCCTTTAAGTTACATTAATAAGCTACTTTGAAGTCAGAAAATTAGAACAAAGTCAAAGAACATGTATTTTAGTGACTCAAGATAAGTTAGCTTAACTTGTTTTGCTTTTGTCCATCAGGGTGTTTTGTGTCCCACTGGCTGCGATCTAAAGACCACGTTGGTGAAGCAAGAGAGAAATGTCAAGAGGGTAAATCAAACTTATGCAATCATTTAAAGGGCGGTAGTTGTCATCTTTGAGATCTTTCCAAGCAAACATTAGCAAAAATGTTTGCTGCTATGATTAGCAGAATAAGGTTTGGTTTGGATATGAGTTTAAACCAACTATGGGAAATCATTACTTTGTGAAAAGACTAAGTTCAACCTCCTGTATTTTTTTTTATTTTTTGCAACTGTTTTACACAGAGCATTGACGAACTCAAGCCTCAGGTGAATGATTTGTCCCAGTCCTCCAACACTGTCTTCAACTACGTCAATGGCATTTCCAACTCGCTGAGGGAGAGGCAAAGACTATCTAACGGTGCGAAAGAAATTTGCAATATAACATTGAAAATGTAAAAAAACCCCCAAAGATTATTTATAACTATGACCTAATTAAATTAATTTGTACTGACATTACAATATATTAATTATAACTAATTGCCAGTAATTCTGCGAGTGTTACAAGTTAATAAATAAAACAAATACAATGAAATACAGTGAATTAAATACAACATTTTTAGAAAGGAAGCAAAAAAAAGTTTCTATGGTAACAATTAAACACTTTTGGTTTATAATAGTTGTTTCATTAAAAACGCCTTCCTTAAAATAATATCTGAAAATGT